TTAGTCACTTCTGGTATTTCCGGAAAGACAGGAAGTGATGAAACGGGCCTATTTTTCGGCCTGCAAAGGCTTTCCTCAAGCTTCTGGGAGGCTAAAAAAAGGCCTCAAACAAGCCGAAAATCAGCTGGGAGGTGCACACATGCGCAGTGAGGTAAGTTTGCCTGCAGAGAAATGGGCTTTACTAATTGAGAGAATGCCAGGTTGTGTCTAGTTATAATATCCCTGCATTTATCCATTTTCATTCCCTGAAGCATCGATAGAGATTGTCAATCATTCAGGTTATGAGTTGTCCCAAAGGTGCTTTTCCAAAAAGCAACTGGGCTTTTCTTTGGGGTCCCCCCCCCCCGCCTTTGAAACATTTTGCTTTTCATCCAAGACGCTTTTTCAATTCAGAACGGAAGAAGCTTCCTGGATGAGAAGCGAAACATTTTCAAAAGCGGAAGAAAAAAACAAACTCAAAGTCCAGATGCCTTTTGGGAAAGCACCTTTGGGACATTCCTTGAACTCTTCTCTACCTTTTCTCCTTTTGTAAATGCTGTAAGGCAGGAACTCACCGTGTGGAGAAATCCTGCCTGTATACAGAAAGCTTGTTTTTCTGTTTGTGCTACGTAATACGGGTGAATGATGTGGGTGTGTTACAAAAGGTTTTGTGTATGTTGAACTCTGTGGTGGGGGCATTAATCCTGACCTGTGTCTGCAGTTTTAATTTGTGGATGTAGACTTTCAATCAGAATAGAGCTGGAAGGGACCTTGGAGGTCATCTAGTCCAACCCCCTGTACCATTTCAGACAAATGACTGTCCAGTCTCTCCTTAAAAACCTGAAGTGATGAGGCACCCACAACTTCTGAAGGCAAGTTGTTCCACTGGTGAATTGTCCTCACTTGTTAGGAAGTTCCTCCTTAATTCCAGGTTGCTTCTCCCCTTGATTAGTTTCCTTCCATTGTTTCTTGCCTTTGCCTTTTGGTGCTTTGGAAAATAAGTTGACCCCCTCGTCTTTGTAGGAGCCCCTCAAATACTGGAATACTTGTAAGTTGTGAGATGTCCAGCAGGCCTGTGCTTGGAAAGCAAGCAGTATGTCCTAAGATCCTAATTTAGCCTTTTTTTTTTCCTTTACGAGTTCCTCAGTTTCAAGGGAATTGTACCTGCAAATTTCCTACGTGGTGGCTAGCTTAGAAAGATTTACCACCTCATGCATTTTTCCCCCCCCTGAGAACTAAGTCCAAGTTCAGAGCCCTCTAACAGCTCCAGTTGACAGTTACAACTGATAAAAAGAGTTTTGGGTGTGTTCAGGTTTTATGATAATGCTCTTTGTAAATTGTGGAAATGGCCTGCGAGCATAGATTTACGTGAATGAAGTTTAGCCACATAAATAACATTTTTTCGAGTCACACTGAACAGCACCCTTCGTTCCTCAGAGAGACATTTTATTCCCGGCCTCTGGTTTCTATGAATACCCTTCCATCATTTCAACAAACATAGTTATGAATTTTATAGGTATGTTTAAAAATATCCCACTTAGGCTGCTAAATTAAATACCCATATATTTAGCTATCTGTGACAGTATGTTCCAAACGCACTGTGTAAAGCCATGCAATTAAATCTATATTGGGCAGTTACATAAATCCGTGGTCAAAATTTCCAAGGTGTTAAGTATCTCGTGCTCCAGTTGAAGCCACACATAATTTCAGGTGTTGATCACCTTGGGCCAGGAGTGGGCTTCAAAAAGGGTTCTCTGCCTGGTTGCTGGGTGGGCGTGGCCATGGTGGGCGTGGCCTAGTCAGCCTCCTGCACCATGGCACGCGGGGGGGGGGGGGTTGCTCTCCCCAGGCTCCGAAAGCTTTCCTTGAGCCTCCAAGAGGGCGAAAATGGCCTCCCGGACTCCGGAGGCTTTCTGGAAGCCAGAAACAGGCCCATTTCCAGCCTTCCTAAATTTCCAGGAGGCCCATTTTACACCTTCCCTGAGCCTCCACCCAAAACTGCATCCAAAACGGGCCACATGGGGACTCCTGGGAGGGGCGGGGTGGTTAGGACCAGCCAGGAGTGGGATTTGGGGGTTCTCTGAACTGCACAGAACCTTAGCTAGGTGTTTTCCCGAATCCCTGCGAACCCCCAGTAGCCCACCTCTCTCTTGGGCCCAGTTGGGCTGGAGAAACGTGCTAGCAGCCTGATACAATTGGGGCCTAATTTTTGCAAGTGAACCCAATGCCTGATAAATTAGTTGTTTCAATGTTTTCCAGAAATGCTGGCTTTAAATGCAAAGGATCTTGTGCATGTGGAGAAAATAATAAGAATTTGAAAAGCTTGCCTAAGCCTTAGAGCAGAGAGGGGGCAACTATTGGCCCCTTTATAGCTTGTGGACTTCAACTCTCAGAATTATGGGAATTGAAGTCCACAGGTTGTAAAGGGGCCATAGTTGGTCACTCCTATCTTTGAGGAATAAGAATAAGTTGTTCTTTTTCCCCCCCTGTGGGGGCTGGGATTGCAAAGTGCCCCCACCTATTCCTGGCTTGGTTGTATAGGAAAAGACTATGAATCATGGCAGAATCATGGCATGACTGCATGAATCCAGTTGCCTTTTGAAAAAGTACCTTGGAGACAACCATGACCTGGATGACTGAGACTCTCCCTAGACAAACATGACAGAAAGACCTGTCTTTTATCTTGGGCTTTTGAGGAGGTTTTGTGCTAGTTTCATCCAGGTATTGACCAAATTGAAGTAGCACAAAGATCCTGAAGATGGGATGTGATAGATAGACCTTCATCTGTAACTCATGGTCCCCTGTTCCATCCATGGTTCCTTTGCTTCCTTGATCAGGTGCAAATGAGGGTTTCAGATGGCAGAAGATAGCAGACTTAGGAGCCCCCATCCTGATCCTATTGTTGATGGGAAACCCTATGACCGTGATGGCGAATCTATGGCACGCATGCCAGAGGTAGCACGCAGAGCCCTCTCTGTGAGCATGCACATCATCGCCAGCTACTCTTCTGGGTTCCATCAGGCACATGCACACTGAAGACCAGTTGGCCAGTGTGCATGCATGCAACGGAACCTCGAAGAGAGCATCTGGCTGGTGCGTGCATGTGCACCTGCCAGCTGCTCTCTTCTGGGTTCTGGCGCTCCGGCGCACGCACTCCAATTTTGGCACTTGGTGCCAAAAAGGTTAACCATCACTGTCCTATGAGAAGCAATGAGATAAGCTGATATTATAACTGGTTGAAGCCCTGCTGCTTTGTATGGACTTGAAGTTTCCTCTGTTTTAACTTGTTTTCACTTGGGGACATAGTCACAACCGGTTTTAGTGAGGTTGTGACCTGTTGGGTTTACATGCTCTCCTTTGCTGGATGTCCTTTCTTTTTAATATTACTTGAGATTCTATGTCTGTTCACCCTTTGAGTCCTGCCTCCCTAGATCTTTTGATCTTAGTTGATCTAAGGGTTGCCTTGATGTTTGTAGCATTGAAGAAAATCTGGGATGGAAAGGGTAAAATATACTTTGGGTCTAACGTTCAACATGGGGAGTAAATCTTTGGTTAGACTTTGAGGCATCTTTTAAAATGGCTTCTACTTACATGTGTTGTACCAAAGTGAAGCTGGTGTCTGCATCTACTGGGGGAACATGTAGTTCAGCTTTAACTAAGTCCATAAGTGTGATTTTTTTTTCTGCTGTGCCCATTAATCCATGTTTTATTGATTTTATGATAAAAACCCATTGTGTTTGGCCGTTGGCTATAGAGACAAATTTCTATAGGATTTGTTGATTAATCTAAAAGCTACCAAGTAAAAGACTGATGCCCCAAGAGTACCCCAACTGGTCAGTTGTGTTCTCACAAGAAGTTGTGTGTAAAGAGGAGAACCTGAGAGAGCCACCTCAGTATTTCTGGCCTTCTAAAAGACATTTGCTAGTATCTGCATTTGCTCATGAATCTGTTACCTGAACTAATGTGTCCATAATAGTAACTGGAGCTCTGAAGGTAAGCAGAAATGTTGAAGAAGGTTCTTCTGGGTCCTTAAGTGGTCCAGGTATCCTTTACCTTGGTTTCTCAAACTGAATGTCAGAGATTTCAGGCTGTGTAGGAAGAACATGTGGGGCAGCTCCTCACTGCAATTCATATGGCTGTCTGGAAGTTGGTGGTGCCTTCCTAAAAACTGTAGGTAGAAACTCTGCAACTGTATCTCCTGTTTTGGGGAAAAACCATCAGAAGGGAATTTAGGCAGTCCTACGTGATACATACAATGAGACTGGTATGCAGAATGTGCTCAACCACATTGCAGTTTGGCTTAACACAATATGGCGCCAAAGTTTGTAAATCTTGGTTATTGGTTTCATGTTTTATGGGAACCTAATCAATTGTGGCTTAGTTTTACAAAACCCTCGTTGGGTGTTGCACTTTTGAATGTTGTGCCATATAAAATCTTTCTTGCAGTGAGAAGGAAAGGATATATGGGAGTAATAGTATAGTGTCAGAAGCACTAAGGCAGTGATCCCCAACCTTTTCTTTGCCGCGGCCCGGTACCGGCATCAGCTGGGCGCCGCGGCCCAGTACCGGCATCAACTGGGCACCGCCATCTTTTTTTGATGAAAAAGTGCTTCCGGTGAGCTTTCTACCCGGAAAAGCTCACCAGAAGCATTTTTTATCAAAAAAAGATGGCGGCGCCCAGCAACCAGCGGCCTGGTAAGACTTGTTCCGCGGACCGGTGGTTGGGGACCCCTGCACTAAGGCACTTCCAGGTTGAAAGGATTAGCCACTAATAATCACCATTGCCCAGGGGATGCCCAGTTGGGAACTCTTTTCTTGTCCCCCACAAGGAGCTGGAGCAAAGGAAGGGAACTCAACCTTGGGTCTCGAATGCAGACTTGCTAACCTCCAACCCAGTGTCCTAACTATGCAAGCCACCATGTTCCTAGGGAGCAATGATTTAACCCAAAGAAACCTATGAAAGTGTGAGTTGGCTTTTGAAGGACTATTGACTAATGTTTCTGCCTTTTGGATGTTTCCAGGAGAGAAGCCATACAAATGCACTTGGGAAGGATGTGACTGGAGATTTGCTCGCTCGGACGAGTTGACCCGCCACTACCGGAAGCACACGGGTGCTAAGCCCTTCCAGTGCGCTGTCTGCAGCCGCAGCTTCTCTCGCTCCGATCACCTGGCCCTGCACATGAAGCGCCACCAGAACTGAGCTGCATCTTCACGAGGCAGTGGGCACCTATGCAACATGCGGGCGACCCAAGTATACCCACCCGCCTTCCACTAGAAATAGCTAAGGGTTTGCCTGCGTACGAACTCTTCCTTTTTAGAAGCAGGAAAAAAATAATAATAATGAGGCTAGAAGAAACTGGAAATGTATATTTTGTATATTTATGAGGAAACAGGGAAGACACTGTCCAGAGAGACACGGATTGTTTTACTGCTTTAATGCCCTGTGACTTTACTCTTTGTATCTGGGACTTAGTCCTACAGGTTTCATCTCAGGGCTGCCTGTCATGATGTTTTGCAGATTGGGGTTGGGTGGTTCTGGGTAGGCAAAAAAAGGGTCTCTCCAATTTGATCCTGTGGCCCTAGGCCGCTCCGTGACGGAGCAGCACCATGGGTCTTCAAGTCGCAGTTCTTCTGCACAACGGCTGTGCAGGCCCACACATCCATTTCAGCCATAAATGTGTTGCCAGAATAAAATTGAATCAAAAGAATAAGCGGCAGTGCTTCACTGCTTCTTTCTCTCTCCTTGTCCCTTCACTTGCTCTGGGAGAGTAGAAAGAAAGAGAAAAGGAGATCATTTGATCCAGCAGCTGGGGTTTGGTGTGGCCACAGAACCCAGAACTGTCAGCCAGCTTTAAAACACTTTCAGTGGATAGCTTTCAGATCCTGATTTCTTCGGCCATAAGAAGCCCTAAATCAGGAGTCTTCAAACTTGACAACTTTAAGACTTGTGGACTTCAACTCCCAGAATTCCTCCTCCAGTCATGTTAGCTCAGGGATTCTGGGAGTTGAAGTCCATAAGTCTTAAACTTGCCAAGTTTGAAGACCTCTGCTCTAAATTATGGTTGAAGGGCTCTCATTCCTGCTCTTGTGCTCATCTGCACAAAGGGAGAAGAGAAGGAAGAGTAGATGGCCTCACTGGGTCGCTGGCCCACTGGGTCTCCACCTTCTGATCCTGGAAACCATGGGGGTGACAGGGGAGAATGGCCATCTGACCAATGGCTCTTTTTGTCCACGAACCCCCAAAAGACAACGGAAGATTCATCCCTTTGGACAAAAAGATTCTGATTTCCCTGGGAATTTTGTGCACTAGTTTTGCACACATTATGTAATTATAATCTGGCAGTTAATTGATGTAAGGCAGATAAAACAAGATTGCATAAATATGCTTCACTCATTATTTCCAAAACACAACACGAGAAGCAGGTCCCTAAATCTAAGTATTATATTTGAAAATCTGCGTTATCTGTAATTTTTAGAAGCCTGACCAACACACTCTTTAATCAGACGGTGTTTTTTTTTTTTTTAAATTAATTTAATATCAACTGACAGCCAAACGAATCCAGAAAACAACCTGCAATTTATTTTCTGTCAAAACTGTACTGGATGTTTTTTTTAAAAAAATACTTGTTATATTTTATTATTATTTTTTCTGTGGAGATTAAATATATAGAGATGAAATTCATAAATAGCCATAGAACAAAAATGTTCCATATGTTTGCATGTCTATCATGACAAAGATTTTGTAAATATGCAAATCAGCTCTTAATGTTTTATCACAAAAGGAATTTTCTACAAATCGGTTTGGATAATAAGTGTCAAGCATCTGGACTACGGATAGTTCAGTCTGGCACATCTAATATTCAGCATACGCGTTCAGACAGATCTGATCTGCCAAGTGTTTTAAAGTTTAGAATCCATATTTTCCCCTGGTTTTGTAAAGGGACAACCATTTTCCACAACGCGAGCTATTCAGCATCTGTCAGAAGCTTTAAATAACAAGAGGCTCTGAGACTAATGTTAAACATTTTACTATAAGCTAAACTTAGTCCTGCTTTAAAAAGAAGGATTTAGAACATGATTTTTAGAATATCAGAACTCTAAGCTGGTGAAACTCTAAGGTAATACCTTGTGAATTTTGCTCACCCCAATTCAGTGAGAGCCAGAGACCTCTGAAAGTACTTCAGATTGCACTGAGATTGGAAAATCGAAAAAGAAAACCAATCAGCTTGAACTGGGCCAGCTAATAGGGATAAGACCTTGCTGCATCTTGTTAACAAAAGGAAGTATACCCCAAAATGTCCAGACAGGCAAATGTCGAAATTGTCTGGATGTTTCGTCTCTGTAAGGTACATAGCTGGATCTGGGAAACTCAGCTTTTCACAAGGTTAAAAAGTACTGTAATTTTTAGAGGAAGAAGGTGTAATTAAAATGAAAACAACACCACTGTGCAAATGCATTGTAACACCAAAGGAAAGACCTGACATGGCAAAATAGATTTTAGCTAAAAATGGGCCAAGGGATCCAACTACAGCAGGGGTTCCCAAACTTGGCAACTTTAAGACTTGTGGACTTCAACTCCCAGAATTCTCCAGCCAGCTGGAGAATTCTGGGAGTTGAACTCCACAAGTCTTAAAGTTGTCAAGTTTGGAGACCTCTGAACGACAGGGTAGCCAGATCTGGCCTGCAGAAATCCAGGTGACCACTAGGTGGCAGAGAACCCCAACTCTCGGTTGCCTTCTAGAGCAGGGGTGTCAAAACTCAAGGCCCGGGCCCCAGATTTGGTCCACAGGGTTCTTAGCGGCCCTCCTGGGCTCTGTTTTCACTGGCAGAGGGTTGTAGGAGGCCATCACAGCTGAAAACAGAGCTTGGGAGTCTGTTTTTGCTGGCAGAGAGCTTGGGCCAACACAGGCACCCCCGACACGAGTGATATCAAGCGGGCCATGCCCACTCTGGCCAGGCCCCCCAAGGTCAAATACAATCCTGATGTGTCCCTCAATGAAATTGAGGAGTTTGACACCCCTGCTCTGCCAGCTTTGTGCAGGTTATACCTGGGAGCTCTGGATAGCTCCACCATTATTCTTGCTTTGAAGCATCTTCATTTCATTCTGTGGAGATGCTCCTGTTTAGATACCCCCCTTACTGTTCCCATAACGCTTATGAAAGCTGGAGAAAATGCTTGCAGAAACACCCAACTATGGACCAGGAATGGCCCCCAAGATGGTGAGACAAACCACATTTAGGACGAAAGAACGCCAACATTGGAACATAGGGAATGGAAGTCCTGTACTGTTTGACTACTTATCTTCAAGGGTAATGAGATTACTCTGTTCTCTTGCTTCAAAACAATCTGTTGTTTTAAAACATAAGTGAAATGGTACCCTTCATGCAAATTTAACTATAGCATTAGATTCACAGGCTATTGCTAACTTTTTTCAGAGGCAGAAAAGGAAACAGCTGCCAGCAAAGAGCTGCCTGGAGATTTAATCTCAATCCTTGTTCTTAAGATGCAAGTTACCAATTAGGTGAGAGAATCAAATCAATGTATTTATTGGGAAATAAATCTGTTCATTGCTTTGTGGAGCAAGGAGTGAACAGGTTTGGCTCATCCAGCACTTCCTGATCCTTTGGACTTCAGAGGGACAGAATCCAATATGTGCTGATTGCTCAGAACTTAAAGTTCAATGGAATTCCTAGTTCACAGTCCTATTTCCCAGCCAAACTTAATTTTATCTGAACTAATAAGAGCAAACGGAATTATTTTGCAGCCTGGATTTACAAAACCAAAACTCGAATGGATTCTTATTGAGGTTCCTTACATTGACTATGTTCGTCTATTGCATAAGGTTTAGGATTTGTTCCAATTGTGGTTTTGTTGAACAAGCTAGGAGCAAGCCTCAATCCATCCTGTAGTCCAGCAAAAGTAATATTGACTTAATGGGGAGTTAAGTTAGAACTTAGTTTCTTTTTCTTTGTTAATATACAGAAGTGAAACACTAAAACAGTCCAGGAATAAACTATCCTGACATAACAAGCTAGGATTTGTAAGCCAGCCACCAACCATGGCAAACAGTTGTCTTTCAGCCCTACCATTCAGCTCAGGTCAATTATTTGGCCAATGAGTATTATCTGTGGACATTGTGCATAACAGAGTAGCCTTCAAAGGAGCAAGGCTCTAAATAGCATTTTTTTTTTTTAAATAAAAAAGCAAGAGAATGTGTCATTCTTTGTCTTCAAGACTCACTCCCCAAAGATGTGAGGAATCTTAGTTCGGTCTTATAAACTCTTTTTTTGAGGTTCATCAGCCAGATAGGCCCATGCGCGCCTGAAAAACAGTAAGGCAAGTTTTGAGAGAGGACAATCAGAGTGGCTGCTTTCTAAATTTTTAATTGCACTTCTGGCAACATTGAACATTTTGAGTGGAGCATTGGAGCTCTTTTCTGTGGACAAAGTCCACAAGGTAGAGAGGGATGTTTTGCATTTTTCATCCATCCCTCTGCTTCTACTGAGGAAACCCTGTTATTCTCTTTAAAAAAAAAACAATGCCCAAATTTCATTCTAGAAGATATTTTGAGGTTGAAAGTTATTTGACATGGAGTATTGACCAACCCTGTTGAGTCACATTGCTGAAACCTTCCTGAAGAAGAGCCCAAAATCCTAGGTTTCGTAGGAAAAAGTTAGCACTCATCTGCATGACTTTTGCATCGTTTTGATAATCATTTGATATTTTGTTCAGCTTTCTTCAGAAAGAGTGAGAAATCCTCAAATTGTAAGCTTTACCCTTTGTTGGTCCAAATGTTTGGTTTGGTTCCTAGTGTAGGATGAAGAGTGGAAAGGGAGAAAGCCCGACTGCACAATATAGTTAAAGAGTTTTGATCATAAATAAGCGATTCAGGTGGATCTTGTGAAAGGATCCTTAGGATTGAGGCTGCTTTTAAACTAATTCTTCTCCTTCCTGATGTTCCAGCTGGAACAAGCTGTTCCAGATCAGAAGACAATAGAACATTCAGCTTGCGTTAGTAGAACATTCCCAACCATATGATAAAACAGAATGGCTGAGCCAAAACCAAATAGATTACATGGGTTGTGTGAATGTGGCTCTTTTGGTTTTGGCTTAGCCTCTCCTATGAACAGAACAGTAGTGAATATGACTTCAGTCTGTTAAACTCCGGTGTAACCCAATCTTTCTATCCGTGGTGGCACAGTGATTAGAATTCAGCATTGCAGGATAATTCTGCCGACTGCCAGCAGTTCGATTCTCACTGGCTCATGGTTGACTGAGCCTTCCATCCTTCCGAGGTCGGTAAAATGAGGATTGTTGGGGGCAAGAGGCTGACTCTGTAAACCCCCTAGAGAGGGCTGTGAAGCACTGTGAAGCGGTACATAAGTCTAAGTGCTATTGCTTATCTTGTCTATCTTGATTCAAGTCTTCTTGAGTTGCACATTCCCACTTGGGTGACATAGAATTGCAGCTATAATCTCATAGGATTGAAAGATTTTGAGAACTGATCCACTCTTTGATCCCAAGTTCAGAATAAGGAATGAGATTCCTTCTTTTAGGCATGGCTTTGGTACAGGGGGTGGGTGGGGTGAGGATAGATCAAGTTTGTACAGTTCTCAAAAGTCATCACATGGGTGCAGATGGGACATTTTGGATCACAGCTATTAAAACTGTAATGCCATGCTGTCAAACCAAAGGGTTAAAAAAATTTAAAATAACTGACATGCCAAAAAAGAAAAAAGCTCACAGCAAAACTTTGTTCAAAACTAGTGTTTGCATCTTTTTATTTATTTTTGTGGTATACGGTAGAAATTTTTTAGGAAACAATTTTCCATAGACTTGATAAATTAAAAAAAATAAAAGGTTTGTTATAGGTTTTTTAAGTGTTCCTCTAAATTGTAAATAGATGATGTACATATTTCTTTTTGTAAGGCTTCAAATGTTTAATCTTGAAAAAAAAATACCTACAGAAACTCAAGCGTATTGGTTGCTGTTTTGCTGCTTCCCTTCAGACCTCTCTTTTTTCCTTCCCTCTCCTTATTTTTTTTTTTTTATGTTGACATATCCTATGCAAATGATCGAGCAAACAGCGATATTATTGTTGAAAGATATTGAAATGGTTTATATATGAAAAGACAAAACAATTTTTGACAATAAAAAGTGCCTAAAAATGTGTGGAACTCTTTTGTACCCAATGTGAGAAAATTACTGTGTGTGTGTGTGTGTGTGTGTGTGTGTGTGTGTGTGTGTGTGTGTGAATGAATATATGTTGTGTTTAAGGATTTTGAAAGAACTTGGTTCATCAGGTGAGAGTCATTCTTCTAAAGAAGAACACAACTCTTATCACAAGGGCGCTTTTCAGTAGTAGGTTCCCACCTTGGTTGCTACTGGTTTGGTGGTTGTGTGCATGCTCCTAATGCACCAATCAGCTGAGAGGATGAAGAAACAAAAAGCCAAGACCGACCCTCCCACCCACCCATGCGCTTGTCTCTTTTATGCTCTCAGCTGATCATCGGAGGAACCAGTTCGGCCGTACTGGTAGTTATTTTTACTACCAGTTCAGTCGAATTGGTCCAAACCGGTAAGCGCTTTTTCCAAAAGCAATTGGACTTTCTTGGTTTTTTTTTTTCCTTTTTTTGCTTCTCATCCAAGAAGCTTTTTCAGAGAAGTAAAATGAAATGAACTCCAGAAGCTTCTTGGATGAGAAACGAAAGGTTTTCAAAAGGGAAAAAAAAAACCTCCAAGAAAGACCAGTTGCCTTTTGGAAAAGCATCTTTGGGACAACCATGACCTGGATGACTGAGAATCTCCACAGACATTTAATTGGACTCTAAAGAAGAATAATTTCTGGACTTATAGGCACGTTATAAAGACCCAGATTGTTGGGGGCCAATAGGCTGACTGTAAACCGCTTAGAGGGGGCTGTAAAGCACTATAAAGCAGTATATAAGTGCTATTGTTATTATTTTTCTTCTTCGAATTTAATTAGATTCCCGATAAATCCAGAGACACAACTCTGAGGTTTCTGCAGCAAGAGAATGGAAGTGATTTCCTACTTGCTAGCTTCCAGAACATTTCTTCAACTTCCTGGTTCTAAACGAAATGCCATTCCATTTGCTTGCTTGGTTGTGAAGACACCCTGTGTTGTGTGAAGTCAGTTTAGTGACACAACCTTTTCTTGGTTGCGTGTCCAAAACTGGTAGCAAAAACTTCAGCTGTAGATTCCAAGTTTCTGAATCTCCTCATCTCACAGTATTTTATTTATTTATTTATTTTATTTGTATTCCACCATTATTATTTTTATGAATAACTCAAGGCGGCAAACATATCCAACATTCCTCCTCTTATTTCCCCCACAACAACAACCCGGTGAGTTGGCTGAGACAGATTGACTGGCCCAAGGTCACCCAGCTGGCTTTCATGCCTAAATTGGAACTAGAATTCCCAATCTCCTGCTTTCTAGACTGATACTTTAAAACACTAGACCCAACCAGTTCTAATAAAATATAAATAAATATGATAGATATTATAAATAATATAAATGAAGTCTTTTTAGGAGTCTTGGGATTCTAGCTGTTTTGTTAACCAGCCCACCCAACAATTATTTTTTATGTGATCCTTAGAGGATAAATGTTTTTTTTTCCACATTTGAGAATGCTATAATTGGCTTTGGATCTGTCATGTTTTTCATGCATTCTTCCATAGACAACAGAACATACCTTGGATATCTTCAGTGAAAGGTGGCCATTTTTAGTAAGGGCATACTGTGTTTCCCTGCAAATAAGACCAGGTCTTATTAATTTTTGCTCCAAAAGATGCATTAGGTCTTATTTTCTAGTTAGGTCTTATTTTCAGGGAAATATATTACTAAATGCATCCGTCTGGCCGACAAGCTTATTTTGGGGGGTAGGGCTTAGATTATGAGGATCCTGAAAAACCAAGCTAGGGCTTATTTTCAGTGTGGGATTTATTTTCGGAGAAATACTATTATTTTTAGATCAGGAGTATCCAGATCTCAGCATGTTTCATCAACCCATCGGGAAGAGTCCGTATGGGGGCCTCTTGCCACTGAGCTAAGTCAGAACAGCCAGGAAATTGAGGGTATCTATTGGAGCAGGCCCTTTGGTTTTGTTCTTTTAACAAAAAATGATCCTGGCCAGGAATAAAGATGTACTTGAAGCACACCAAGAGAGATCTGAAGACAGGATCTCCTGCACATCTATGTCACAAAAGATCAGGTCTATCAATTTATCACTCGTGCTCTTTCCATGCAAGGAAAATGGACAGTAGCAGATGGACTTCAAGACTGCTAGTTTATGTCTTTATTAGAGATCCAGTTTGAATTGAGTGCTCAAGAATTTGACTGATCCTCCATGTGTTGGCCTGTGCTCACATTACACACATTACCTTAATCATGACTTATCTATCATGATTTATCCTGATTTATCCTGATTTTCTGAATTCAAAAATTACAGGAACCAGTCTACTCCCCGTATGATGGCTGTGGGAGGATAGTTTCACGACAAGGCAGCCTCAGGCTGAAGAAAACATGCACATAAGTGTGTGTTTTTTTCCATCGGGGCAACCTGGTCCACCCAATTATGGGATGGAGCGTACTGCTTCCGCTTTCGCCTTTCATCCCCAATCCAGGAGCCTTCGCAGGAAGTCGCTTTTGGTAAATCATACATTTAACACAAAAATATGATCATGGGAACTGGGTTTATCATTGTAACATTATAAACCATGCCTACCTGACAGACATAAAAAGTCTGCTCCCATTACCTTTCAGCATTCCAATTAACACTATAAACCTACACATGGTAGAACTTACCTCCTAAGGAAGGGAATTCGATTTTTTGATAGGACAGGCAACCCTTGAGCTGTATGGTCCAGACATTGACTTCTGATATGTTCTTGTAGCTTTTTCTGGCAAAACAAAAAACAAAAACCCAGAAGTGTTTGGCTTCTGCCTTCTACTGAGATATTGGTGGCAAGCACAGTGTTTAGAATGCCCACAGCCTGGAGTTTGATCCTGACTGGCTAAGATTTACTTCCATTCTTCTGCAACGGGTCAAATAACTTCTCAGATTGTTGAGGGCAATATGCTGACTCTATAAACTGCTTAGAGAGGGCTGTAAAGCACCACAAAGCAGTATATAAGTCTAAGTGCTGTTGCTATTGCTATTTCCTGCTGTATCGCATGCAAACCCTCACCAGAGTGATCCTGCTAAGCTGTAGTTGTAATCACCATTCAAAGGTGTCATAGCATAGCAAGTCTTCCTTAGGTGTCTTCTGTTCTCTGTTGTTTATTAATCCCCAGATAAAACAAGGTGCACAAACAGAGAACCAGATTTCCACTAAAGAACAAAAGAAACTTCTTGAAACACAAGGGTTATCTGTGAACGCAATTTATCAGTAACCCCTTTTAAAAAGATAATAACACTGGCAATAATGGAATTAAAATTGCCTGGATATGAGCACACATTGGCCCTCAGACTAGCCAACCACATTTTAGTCACATTGATGAGAGCCTTGCTAGGGTTCTTGGTGGATGCTAGTCTGACCCAATCCACAAAGACAGAATAGGCCTCCCCCGAAAGGCCTATTAAAAAGATAGGATATATTTGCTAGGTGTGTGATCAACAGGTGGAGAAAAGTTTCACCTTGCTGTTTGTTTGGTGTTCATGTGTAATTCTCTGTACAGAAAACAGCTTTAAAAATGGAATTTGATTAGGTCTCTACTGAGGAAGAAAGGTTGATGCCATTTCAGTCAAAGAGTGTAGAGAGAGAGAGGAGGAGGAGGAGGAGGGGAAGGAGGAGGAGGAGAAGGGAAGAAGAAGAGGAGGAGGAGGTGGAGGTGGAGGTGGAGGTGGTGCTTAGTGCAAATGCATCTAAGCCAAGGTCTACTTGAGCCTTGGCAGAGACTTAATACGATTTTCTACACTGAATAATAGGTTTTTCTCCGCATAAATCTCATTTTTCCAAACTTTGAGTATCCTGAGATTCACCCACCCCTCCTTTTCCATTAAAAAACAACAACCTTAGATCCACTCAATCTTGCTGGGGGTGGGGAGTTCACACAAACTGTTAAAGCCCCCTCAGAAGGGGAAGGGCCTTGCTTCATCTTTGAAATATTAACAGCCGCAATCAAATGAAATGTGAGCATTTCAAGAGGACACAGCATGCCTCCGGATGTTTCAGCTAATTTCTGTGATATAAAAGGGCTTTTCAACCGTCTCAAAGAAGCCAGTCCTTGCAAAGAGGAGAGAAACTTAATTATCAAATGATGTTAGCCAGGGCCATCTGTAAATACATCAGTCATGGTGATGGCAAATGTTATTTTGCCTAAAATGAAAGGCAGAGGCTGTCCATTAATCTGCCTGCTGCAAAGGCCTGAATTAAGCTCTTGCATCCTGGGTTTAAGGGGCAATGTGACAACTTGCAGGACAACTCACCATGGCCAACTCGCCACGGTTAACTCACCATGGCCAACTTACTGTAGCCAACCCACCATGGCCAACTCATTGTAGCCAACTCACCATGGCCAACTTACTGTAGCCAACTCACCATGGCCAACTCTCCATGGCTAACTCATTGTAGCCAACTCACCATGGCCAACGTGCTGCAGGACGTCTTGCCATGGCTAACTCCCCATGGGACAACTTGCTGTGGGACAATTTAACAATTCTATTTCATTATTTAAAATAAACAAAAAATATTTTAATTTTTGCCACTCATATTTCATTCGGTCCCTTCTTTTGCAACCCCTTTCTTTAATGATTCTATTCCACCATTTCTTTGATATTCATGCAACTCTCGTCCTGCAGTGAGTTGCCCTGTGGCGAGATGGCTGTGGTGAGTTAGCTGTGGTGAGTTAGCTGTGGTGAGTTGGCCATGATGAATTGTACCTGAGACTTTGTGAAGTCCCAGTCCAAGAGGCTTCCCAAGCCACCTTAAGGTCGGATGCTTATTCCTTCTGCAAGAAGGAGATCCTCTCAATGTACTAGTTAAGTATCCTCAGGCAGGAGCTGGACCCCAAAGGCCCACCACCCATCCACACAGAGGAAAATCTTACCCAATTCAGTGGGACTCACTTCCAAATGGGCACATCCCCAAGGCTGGTGGAGGCCTCAGTCCATTCCTGTTGTCAACGAGGGCAAATAAC